TCCAGTAAGCACAGTCTAGCCCAAAGGAGTCCTTCCTGTTTACAGGGCATCCCATACCCATTTCTCTACTCTCCTGCCTCTTTGTATCAGTAACCTGCTCCAAAGTCCTGCACCTGTGGGGTGGCTGGGAGTCCTCAAGGTCTGTCCTTCATTTCTGCCCAGGCTGGCAATAGGGTTACTCAACCCAGCTGAGGTGGAGAGCTCTGAATTTCCACGTCACTTTGCTCTGCCTCACTGCAATATACTGCCCATGTCTCCATGTCCCCACATGGCCCTGCTGCCATGGACTGAGCTGTGCTGGGATGAAGGAGCCTGGCATCTGCCAAGTTGCATCTGACCCACTGGCTGGCCAGTAGCTCAGCCTAGCATATTGGTCAGGCAGAGACAATCCCTGGGAACCCTGGTTCAGCCCTCCCAGCCTGGGCTCCCACCTCCCCTGGGCTTTCCTGAAAGACTAGTTCTCCCCACACAAACAGCTCTTCAGGAGCACAGCTGGTGCCCTCAATGTGGCAATGAGGGGGAACAGGCATGTAGCACCTGGGTGGGGTAGGAGTGTCAGGGGACCCCTGCAGTGGGAAAGGGGCCTGGCTGGTAGGGGCATAGGAAGGAGCAGGGCCTCTGTGGGTGGGATGTGTGAGGCCAGAGTGCCCTCCCCCGAGGGGCTCCAAGGGGTTGTAATCCTGGTTTTTATTCTGCACCCGAGCAAAACAGCCCATTGGAAATGATTCTGGAGAAAGGAAAGACCGTGTGTCTACTGCAGTCTGGCTCTGGGTCAGGGCCCTTCCCTGTGATGAGGAGACTTGCAGGCCAACCCCTGCCGCAGCTTAGACAGGACTTGAACCTGGGTCTTCCACCTGCCCATCATGTGCCCTGGGGTCGTGGTAATGGGGGGCTGGGAGTAAGTCTGTGTGTGTCTGTCTGCCTCTCTCTGATCAGAAATTCCTTCCTGAATCCAAGGACCCTGCAGAACCCATGTCCTCTGTGACAGAGATGTTATTCAACAGAGAACAAGAGACATGTTGGAGTTTGGGGTTCTTTGACCCACTGCACTGATGACTTCTCTGGGTGACAAGTCCCAAGGGAAGTGAGAGTGTCCCCATCTTAGGGGAGGGAGAGGCACAGGAAGGCTCTGTGGGGGTGTGCTGTTAGGGGCCATCTCAGAGGGAAGGGGTAGAAAGGGCTCCTGGAAGGAGCTGGTCCGGAGGGTAACAGCTGGGTGTGGGGAGAGAAGGCTCCTCAATGCACAGCTGGCTGTGGATGGAGAAGATGGATGGGAGTGCTGTCAAGGTGACTCTGGGGTGTAGGGGTGCTGGTGGTGGAGTCTGGCTGTGGTCAGGGACCCAGTGGGGCTGCCTGCTCCTTCCTGCTAGCAGAAAGCTTGTCCGGACGCTGTGGTTCCCTTTGTGTTTTCTTTGGCAATCCCCAAAACATTGCAGCCAACTCGGTGACTGCCTGGGCTGCTTTCCCTGGCTCCTCTCAATGAGCCAGGCTGTGATGTCTGGCTCTAGAGTGAGGTTGGTTCTGGGGGCGGGGTGCTGGGTATACTGCAGGCCACATTTTGTTGCTGGCATCTGGCAGCATGACTACCACATTTATTGTGAAGTTTCCATCTCCAGCTATTAACCCATACAGCTGTGGTAGAGCCCAGAGTGGGCAATCAAGCCAGGGCTTGCTTCTGGGGCCCAAGGGGCCTGGTTCCCGCTGCTCTGTGCATGCTGTCTTACTCTGGGCAATCTGGTGGAGGATCAGCATGGTCAGACAGATCTCTTGTTAACACTGAGGCAGTTTGGCTGCCTTTTTTTCTTTTGGGTGCCCAACTGTGGCTACAGGTGCCTGCCTTGCAGCCAGTTACATCTGATGGTTTTGCAGAGGTGGATCCAGAGGGATGCAGAGATGCACACACCCACTTTTGGATCAGGTTGTGGGAGCAGCAGCCAAGAACTTTTTCAAGTTCCCAGAGCAGGTAAGAATCTTCCCTGCTGTTCCCCTTTGTGCTGAGCGGCTCCTCCCCCTCCTCTACCCACTTCTGCCACCATGCTGGCTATGGGGGTGAGGGGGGCTCCAAAGCTGCTCCTGCTCTGCTCCAGCTGGGCTGCACAGGGAGCTGGGCTTAGCCAGGGACAGTGGCAGCAGGAAGGCAGGTTTCTTCTCCCTACCCAGTCCCTTGGTGTTCCCTGCCAGTCTGGAAGCAGGCGCAGGGTAGGAGACCCTTCCTGCCAGTGCTGCTGCCTCTATCCTCACTTGAGCCTGGCTCCCTGTGGAGCCTGGCTGGAGTGGAGCAGGACAAGCTCTTGAGCTTCCCCTGCCCAGGACAGCTGGGGACAGCAGCAAGGAGGAGAGGAGGAAGGGAAGGGAAGGCAGGTGCCACTGAGGAGAGGAAGGGAGGGGATGCTGAGAGCAGGAGGAGAGGATCCCTACCTGGTTTGGGACTTTAAAAAAGTCCATGGCTGCTGCTTCTGTAGCATGGTCTACCCACCCCAGGAGGGAGAGGGAGGCTAGGAGCCAGGGCATAGCCACCTCTGAAGCACTGGTTGCTGCCCCTGCACCCCCCTTTTGCAAAAAAGCATCTTGATGCCTACCTTGTTGGGGTCATCTGACCCCAGCAGTCTTTCCTGCCCAAGTGTGTGTGTGGGGGGGGGGTTGAACCGGATGATCTATAAGGTCTCTTCCAACCCCTAATATCTATGAAACTATGAAAATTTGGGATTTGCCCATGGCAGCAAGTGTGTGCGTGTCTGCAGGATCTTACTATACTTATGAAATGGTTCAGAGACACCCCCTTTTAAAATCCCGTTAAACAGCTTCTTGGACTAGTTACTACCTGTAACATCAGTGGTAACTAAAACAGGAAATGTAGACCTCCCTTTGATTTCCTCTCTCCTCCTGTTTGTTTACCCTGTGCATTTCCCCAGGGAGGAGAGTAAAACTCTGCTAGTCAGTTTCACTCTGTGTTTCTGGTCAGTTTCACTTTGAGATTCTACTGGTAAGAGGCACCTGCTGGATTTGGTTTCTTTGCCCTTCCAGGGAAATAGTTGATACAGGAAATAAGGAAAATCTGGGAAAATTAAATGGGAAAATCTTTGTTTCCATATTAAGATTTGTGATTATTTTTCACAGCAAGACACCAGCTGACTCGGGGATCTGCTTGGTTGGTTTCCTTTGCGTGTGAGCTCTTTATGGAAAGGAGAGAGATTGAACAGGTAGAAAGTGGGGTCTAAAGATGCTGGAATCAAAACTAGGGGCTTGCTTTGGGAAGATGAGGCTGAAAGGTAGGAGGCTGATTGAGGAGGGAAAGGTGATGTAGCAGGCTTAAAGTCACTCTTGACAGTTTGATGATGACATTAGTGGGTGTCTTGTGATAACTGATGTTTATTTTCATCCTGGTGATGCTGGAGAAGAGGCTGAAAACATGACCTAAGTGCCCCAGAAAGGTTCAGTCCAGAAGGCCAACTTAAAAGTTGATTTTATTTCTAGATCTTGTCTTTTGTGACCCAGGCTTGGGCTTTTTTTCTCCCCTATACTGACTTGCAGTCAGTGAATGCTCAGGGCTGGCAATAGAGTAACAAGATGGTGCCTCAGTGTGCAGCATGCAGTTACTTCATTACCAAGTCTCTTGCATGGCTGGGTCCTTGTCATAATGTGCTGTGCGCTCTGGGTTGCCTCAGTGATGGCATCTGTACAGTGCCTGGTGTGCTGACTGATCAGGGGCTGTCCATACTTAGCATCCCTGATCACCAGGCCGTCCTGGGCATCCTGGAAAGAGAGATACCCACAACCAGATGCTGCTTTCAGAAACATTAGCCTTGGCCTTCTGGCTGAGGACATACTGAGACTTGCTGCTAGTGCTGAGACCAGAGAAAAGGCATGGGCTTGGTCATAGAGGGAGCTGGTTTCACTCCCCTGCTGTGCCATAGACCCCTTGTGAAGTCTTGAGTGGGTCACATAGATCCTCTGTACCCCATGTCCTGATCTCTACCATGTCACCGGTGGCAGTGCCCCAGGTCACAGCATGCTAGGAAAAGTGCATGCAGTGTTTACTGGGGGCCATGGTAAGTACCTCAAATAGAACTCAAGTGTCTTGACTTAGTCCCAGGCTTTCAGCATTATTATTTCACATGCTGCTCATTGGCAGGGAGCAATAGGACTGTGGCTGTAGAGTGAAGGCAGCCCACTCAGGTGCTGCTAGCTCTGGGCTTGTCAGAAACCTAGTGTGATTTCATTTAATAGGGTATACATGAACATAGTGCGTAGGACTGAATTGTAGCCTGGGACTGGGCTCTTCCTCTACAGGACAGGGGCAGTGGTAGCTACAGCAGTTGCTGTTGTTCTCTGGCTGTTACCCTTGTGCCTCACAGCCCCAACTTTGAGCCCAGACCCACTGTGCTTGGTGCTGCACATATGCACAACTGAAATCTCCCTCCAGGGAGCCTCAGCCCAGGAGGCACGAGGGGGCAGGTCAGTCCTCCCACATCCTTTGTGCTGATCAGCATAGGGGCAGATCTGGGCCAGACCAGAGGGGTGGGAGTGGAGGAGTGTGATTTTTTTTGTACTGAGTGCACAGCCCATTATGAAATTGGCTGAACACCGCCCCCCCCCGATCATTCTGCTTGACCCAGACTTGTGACACCTTTTTGAAGGAAGAAGTGCATCCACTGGGGACTTTGGGAAAGGGAAACTGGTGGGGCTGGGGCTGAGATCAGGGAAAAAAACCTGCTGCATCACAGGGCCAGATCTGTCCCCAGTGTAACTGCCTGGGAGTCAGTGGCACCTCAGAGGTAGCTGATTTAATGCCTGGTGCCTCTTTCAACTCAGCAGGGCAGGCAGAGCACAGAGGCTGCAGTGAAGTGAACCTCGGCCAGGCCCCCCCCTTTGCCCCCCAGAGCACAGCTGCCAGCGGGATGGAAAGGCGGGTCTCCTGTCCCTGCGCCGTGGCAATCTCCTTGAGAGGAGCTGGGTGGAGCCCTGCTGTATAAAACTCACAGTAGATTCCTCAGAGCCAGTTCCTTGTGGCAGGCGAGGGGAGAGGCGGGGTGGGGAAGGCTTCCTGAGCACACGCCGGCCAGCTGGGACCTCCACAGCTGTCCCTGGAAGGAGTGCCGGAGGAAGCCCATTGACTCACAGTACAAGGAGCGTCCAGTGGCAGCCTTGGAAGGAAGAGCCAGGCAGCAGGCAGGCAGGCAGCAGGCCATGCATGTCAGACACCTCTTCCAGGCCCTGGCAGCCTGGTGGCTCTCTGGGACTCTCTTGGCCAGCTGTGAGGACACCAAGACCAACGTGCCCCGACTCCGCCTGTCCTACAAAGGTAACCGTGACTGTCTCTGGCGGGCTGCTCCTGAGATGCCCCCTGCAATTGTGACAGGGCAATTCAACTCTTCCTCTGCACTTAGCACTTGCGGGGTTGTTGGCTTGCATCCGGGCCAGATTGGAGCTGTGGATCAGAACTTGCTGAGCTCTGGAGCCAAATCAAAGCTACCCGGCAGAGGCCCAAACTGATTGCTGTGGGAGGGGGCTGTGTGTGAGGAAGAGACTGTGGCACCTGGTGGGGTGATGTCACCAGAATGTGGGGGTGGGAGTGTGAGGGGCAGTGAATGAATGAGGCTGGGGGCAGGAGGTCGTCCTGTGAGTGAGAGCCTGCTTGTAAATTTTATGCAGCCAAAGCCCCATCTCCCCCCAGTTACGCTGAGAGCCCCAGAGGTCAGAGCAGAGGTGTTGGCAATTCACACCCCCAAGGGAAGTGGAGGGGTTATGTTCACCTGAGACTTTCCACATGCCCCAGTATGTTCCCTTGCCTGTATGTACTCAACGGATCATGTGCCACGACCCTCAGTGCCCATGTGTGCCATGCTCTGCACCTCCAGGGCTGGGTGCTGTGGGGCACAAGGAAGTGGGTAGGATTTAAAATGAACTGGGCTGGCTGGGCTCTGTGCTTCCCTTCCTTCCCTATCCCCATGTTCACATCCCCTAAGGGTCACTCCCAAAGGGACAGGGATTGGACTCTCTTTGCAGCTGCAGTGTGATCATTCCTTAGTTTCATCATCCCCGCCACAGGCACTGGCCATGGTTGGGCTGGGGCCAGTGGTGCCTCCCTCCTTACCCCACATGATGTCAGGAAGGGCACTCCATTTCTACCACTCAAGCTGTGCCCTGAGTGCAGTTGTCTGCATGGGCAGAGCGGGTGCATGTCTGAGCTGCTGATCTTTGCAGGATGTCTCCTAGGCTCCGTGCCCTACAAAGCTGAAACAGTTCCTAGACCAGCAACTGAACCTGAAATGCCTAGAAGGGATTCCCCCAAACTTCACTGCCACCAACCCTGCTCCCTCCTCATCTGTCCTTTCTGGGATCCCCTGGGTGATTTTACACTATGCAGTAATCAGCTTGCAGTACTGTGGGCTCCAGTGTATCATTTGGGATGCTGCCTCGCTGGCGTGTATGGGCTGGGCTGGGATAGTATAGGATAGTGGTTTTCAACCTATGGTCTGCAGACCCCTGGGGGTTCATAGACTGTCTGAGGGGTCTGCAAAAGATGACTATGATCAAGCAAAAGTATGTGAATGCCCACACGTACAGTTCAAAGGGGTCCACACCTCCATTTTTTTTTTTTTAGGGGTCCGCAAATGAAAAAAGGTTGAAAACCACTATTATAGGACATCCTTGGCTCTGGACCTGACTCCCCTGGCTGCCACCAGCACCCCCTTGTGACCAGCCTGGGATACTGCAGCACAATCTTATCAGCCTTTTGCTACCCCCTCTCCAGAAAAAGGCAGTGCTGAATACTGACCTGTGGCCTGGGCAGGAGTCCCCTAATCCCACTGAGACTGAGCCTCTGTCCTGATGCTTCTCACACCAGCTGCTACTGGGCACAAGAATGGCATGCATCGGTCACAGCTGGTGAAGCACCAGAGCCCGGTGAAATGTTCTTCACAGCCAGGGGCTTTGTCCCTAGCAGTTGGGGTTGCACTGAATTTGTACCTGACAAGTTAAGGGCTCTCCTGGCCAGGCTGGAAGTGCCCAAGGGCAGCCCCTACCAGAAAGTCCTGGCACCTCACCTAGGCTGGAGCCAGGAGCAGCACAGAGGCAACACAAGGGGGGCAGAAGAGGTCATGAGTGCTTGGAAAAGGCTTAGGGAGGGGTTCCCAGACGGAGGCTCAGGCTGGATCTTACCGTCTTCACTCAGCCTTTGTAGCTCTGCCCCTAGCCCCATCAGCCCTTGTGTGGCTTCCTGGTTGGGGGCAGCTGGATCTGCGCGGTGCTGTGGAAGGGGCAGGCCTGGGGCTACAGCACCATTCCCCTGTGCTGAAGTTCGGCTGGGGGAGGTCCTGCTGCCTTGGACAGAGCATGTCTAGGAAGCTTGTGGGCACCCAACAGGGCTGTTCCACCAACCACAAGGAAGCTAATGAGGGGCGAGTCATGCTGGGAGGGCAGTGGATGCAGAAAGAGAAGAGCTGACTTTGCCAGCTCCAGCCTCACTTCCCCCTCCTCCCTGGACAGATGTCCCCCTGGCTTTGGCCCAAGCCAAGTGAATCCTGTGGCTAATGAGAGCCCCGGTGCTGGGGAGGCAATGCTTGTATGCACGGTGATTTGCTGCCTCAGATCTGGATGTTGTGGGAGTGGGACTTGGCCTTTGGCTCCGAGCTCTGTGGCCAGGAGAGGAGGTCAAGGCCTCTCCTTAGGTGGCCACTCATGTAGATTCAAGACACGCAGAAGGAGGGAGGCAGCTTCCCCTGGAAGGCAGTTAGACATAGCCTGTGTGGGGAGCACATGGGAATAATCTGTAGGAGCTGCATGGAGGTCCTTTGAACCCAGCTCCATCCCTCAAGGTGCAAGTGGCAGGAATTTTCTCTTGCCCCACATGCTGCAGTGGGGCAGCTAGGACCAGAATTGCCACACTCCAGCACTGGTCTCAGCCCTTTGGGGGGTGGGGAGCAGCTTGCCTATATTCCCAGCTTGGCTCATGGCTCATTACCCACATGCAACCCCCTTTCTCCTGTCCTAGGAAGTTGTTCCTGCTGGGAGTTGAGCTGAGTTGGGCTGGTTCTCCTCTGAGCAAAGGAGGCTGCAGGGAGCCCTATGGAGCTGCTGTGCTGGGTCACACTGTCCTGCTCAATGACTACCAGGTCCTGACTTTTCAGAGGTTGGAATAAGCCCCTGTCATGCTGCCAGTAATGCAGTACTATCCTGTGGGTGGAAGGGTCTTCCTGATGTCAGGTGGGGATGGGCCAATTGCCCTGGGTGTGGGAAGCTGGAGACCCTCTCCTTAGAAGTGAGTCCCTACAGATGCCAGGAGAATTTTGTTTCCAAAATACTTAGTAACTTTGAAGATGAATCACAGGCTCCTAAGTCACTTGAGTTCTTTGCAAAGCCTTGCTTGTTCCTTATGCATAAGAATCTATTATCCTTTACTGAAAGTTTAACCCGGTGCCCTGCAGCTGTGGCTGGCACAGGTAAATTACAGGCGTCTTTAAAACTCCTGCCCTTTTCCCCCATTGTAAATGTGTCATATGTCTATCTACCTCCCTTTGTGTATATTGCAGTAGCACCCTGCTTCTCCCATTGTGGCAGGTGCAGTACAACTTTGCTAGGTGTTGTACAAAAATCTGGCCCGTGACAGCCCATGCCTCCAAGACCTTGTCACTTCAAGAGAGAGGATATGTAGAGTGGGGGAGAAGTTGAAATCCAAGGTGTGTGCAGCTCAGCCTGCCAGGAGCAGCTGTGCCAACACCCCACCTGCCCCGTGTTCACAGGGTGGAAGCTCTCTGCCCATGGCAAGGTGGGATTTTGAGGGAGGTGAGTGGGTGACTTTTGACAGGCAGCTGGTCCTACACAGGAGGGACTGGGAGCACAGGTCAGCCTTCCCCACACTGCAGTGTTCATTGTTTTATGAGTGTCGCTGCAGGGGGTGCGCTGAGGACAACTATGAGAATCTCCATCTCCAGAATAAACTCCATTCCAGAATGGGGAGTTGGTTAAAATAAATGGGTGGGGAAAGTGAGTGGTGGGGTGGGAATTGTGGCTTGCACCATACTTTGGGAGTTGAAAGTGGCTTATCTGTTGATTTAAATGGGTACTCCAGCTTACAATGGGATATAGGCGATGGAGGACAGCCCCTTGGTCCCAGCAACCTCGGAGGAAGAAAAATCCAAAGACCTTTGGTGTGGGTGGTTTGGCACTGTCAATTCAAACTACCATGGTGTGGGGTCCTGCTCAGCCCACCTGATGACGTGGGCAGCTCAGCTTTGTGCCAAGGTCCCCACCAGACTTGCACCCTGTGCCAGCTGTCTGCAGTGGCACACATGTTCCTGGCTCCTGAAGGCAGGGTTCTGGCAGCTTCAAATCCAGCAGTAGCAGAAAGCAGTGCTGGCTCTCCCCTTGTGCTGTCCAGTGAGCTGGAGCTTGGACCTCAAAATGGCACAGACTAGCCACAATGGGCACCCACAAAGGGCAAAGGATAGACTCTGGCTGCAGGAGCCCAGGGAGCCTGCCCGCAGTGGAGAAGTCACCATTTTCCCTAGCCCTGCCCCACCTCCCCAGCTCTGGTGATGTTTGCAGGAAGGGAGGGGGGAGACGGGAGCAGGAGCAAGCTGTGTGTTGGGGTTTGCCTGGCCTGAGCTAGAGGGGGGTTTGGAGGGACCGTGAGGCAGGAGGAGCACCAATCCACCCACCTCCCTCCAGTTCAGGCTGGGCAAACCCCAACCCACAGCTGGCTCTCCCTCCCCTCTCCTCCCTCACTTCCTGCAAATAGTCCCAGGGCAGGGCTGGGCTGCATGAGCCCAACCCTGATCATGCCACAAATTAATCCTAGGGAGCACAAGTCCCCCAAGGCACTCCAAAATGGAGCACCTTTATCTGATCCCTCATTTGATGAGGCTTACTTTGTCACATGATCGGTCACTTCTAAAGTGCTGTGCATGTATGTGACAGCATGACTGTCAAGTGCTTTCAGGGGGCCGATTGTGGGACAAATGTAACTTCTGTCTGCACCCCATGTGACTCAGGTGACTTGGTGGACGGAGGAGGGGTGAACAGATGCCACTGGGGCTTCACCCCAGAGCTGGGTCCTGAGCAGGAAACAGCATCCAATAAACAGAGCCTAGGTTGGAGCCACTCCGCATGGCCCTGTGTCTATAAGATCAACAAGGAAGGCAAGGAGCAGGAGACTGACAGTGGGCCACAGCCAGGCAAACGTACAGGTTGGACATCACCCCTGGCCTGGGTTGTGTGTTCAGGGCCTGCAAGGGGAGGGACTGAAGCTGGATTCCTGGCTGGATCCCCTGCAGGAGGAGGAGAACCTGAGCTGGGGAAGGG